GGGGGGTAGAAGCTAGGGCCATTCCAGTCCTAGACACAAGCCCTCAGCCGAGACCACGGGGAGGCCTGCTGTGCTGCACACCTGCCCCGTGTGCCGTTGGGCTGCCCTGTCCAACACTTGTCTTCCAGTGGCCTGCCTGGCACTTGTTGGGACACTGGGGTCTTTGGTGTGTGTCTGGTCTCTGGGCCACTGCTGCTCCGGCTTCTGGTTCCGGGCTGGTTGCACATCCTGCTGGCCCCTGTGGGGCACCGGCCCTTGCGTCACTGGGGTCCCCAATCTGGGGCAAGGTCAGTTTCTATACCCAACACTTCCTGGCGGATGTGGACAGCCTCAGAATGGCCTGGTTCGTTTGGCACGGCTCCTGCCCTCTCTCCAAGCCCTCCTACTGGCCTCCGTCACCTCACGGGACCCTCTCCCTTGGGGCACGGTCCTGGGGTCCTGCCCAGCAGAGGCGAGCAGTAGTTTTTCAGCCTCCTGACAGGGCTGACAACGCCTGGGGAGTCTGATAAAGACTCTGTGGCATCCAGGGCGTGGCAGGCGGGCCAGTGGCAGCCGGTCTCAGCAGCTGCACTCTCCAGGTGCCAGCACACCTGGCCACCTGTCTGTCTGTGGCTCAGTGCTCTAGCACAGCACCTCCCCAACCTACCATGCCCTCCCCTCCCACCTGCACGCAGCCCAGGAGAGCCCCTTGACCCCGACCCAGTCCCAGTGGGCAGGTGGGCCCAGCTCACAGCAGGCAGGTGGAGGAGAGAGGGCTCTGCGTCGCCCTCCATCCCCCACCGCATGGGGCACTGCCCACTTCCACCCCTGGAAGGAGGCTGGGGGTGGGGGGGGCTCTGGGACCACCCACAGGGGAAGGACCCCTCCCTCAGCCCCTTCTCCCAGCCCCTTGGCTTCTGGCTCTGAGCAGCCCCTGGGGCCAAGTGAGTGACCTCAGGGGAGACAGCCAGGTGTTCCGGGACCTGCCTGCCACACCCCTTGGCCCCTCTGTCCCCAGGCCAGATCTCCTGTCCTGCCAACCCCTCCCCCACCCACCTCTGGGTCCCTTGACTGCCCCACTCCCACGTATGGGAAAGGGGTCCCCAGCCCTGGCCCAGCCCCCTGCTGAGGCTGTGAGTCAGGTGTCGAGTGCGTTCTGCTGACGCAGCTCGGAAAGTCCTCGCGGGCGGCCTGCGTGGGACAAGCTCCCTGAACGTCAGTGCGGGGCAGCTGGGGCAGTGGGGTGAGGCGAGCGGGTGGGAGATTCCTGCCCCGCGGAGAGGCGGGGACGCTGGGACTCGCCCAGCCCAGTGGAGGGACTGGGAGAGTGAGGCCAGGCTCGTGGGGGGCCGGGAGGGGGTTCTGCCCAGGGAGCTCAGCGCTTCGGAAGGGCTCCGCGGAGCCACTGCCACCGGAGCCGCCACCTCCCTCCATGCTGGCCTGCTGTCAGCAGAGAGGCCTCTGCCCCACCAGGCCTGCCCGGACCCTGGTCACCGCCGCTGCATCTGCTCCCTCCCCTCTCCCTCCCTGCTGGACTCACCTCCCTCCCCAGCTGGGGTCCCACAGAGCAGGGAGGGGCTGGCTTCAGGGCCAAGGCTGGAGGAGGCTCTGCTGGGGTACCCAGGCCCAGCGTGCACAGGCTGCCACCAGGCACTTTGGTCGGGTGGCCTGAGCAAGTCCAGGCTGGGAGGAGGGAGACCCCTTCCAGGGCGGCAGGAGGCGCAGGGGGCTCAAGGGTGCCGGCGTGTGGGGGATGGAGGGTGCTGGTGCTGTGAGGGGCTCCCCACCCCTACTCAGGCCAGCTTCCTGGAATGGGGGCAGCTATGTGCCCACCTGGGTCACCAAGCCCAAGAGGGACCCCAAGATGAGACTCTGCCCACGCCAGCTCCACACCCCTCGCTGTTCCCCCCGGGAAACCCCCCCCCCCCCATTTTCAAGTTTTGTTTTATTTGTTGCCATTGCCTTTTTTTTTTTTTTAAAGTATTTTTCACTTAAAGACCACCAGAAGAAAATACTTCTTTGGGGACCCCT